GACAACCCCATTGTATTACCGATATCGTGTTGCCATAGGAACCAGTGATGAATATAGCATGTAATTGACATCAAATACACGACAGGATAAATACTATGTTAAATCAAAGTTAATAGATATACTGGGGGGGGGCTTGCTCGTTCGGATTTTGTATACACTTCTTATTCATAAATCGTGATTTCATCTACAGATGGTAACTAAATCAGTTTAGCTTAGGGTTGTACCATTATTTCTGCTGACGTGATCGGGTAAGTAGAACTATCGGAGCTTTTTGAAGATTGTTGGTTTGTTTGATAACAACATATTTGAAAATTCTATAAATAAATTTCAATTGATAAATCGATGTCTATATTTACATTTTTCGCAATTAGTGGAACTATCGCAAAAGGTGTGTGTGAATGTTCAGTTCCTTGGGTGAACTAATAGTGATTCGAGACAACTGAGGCTCACTCCAACAAATGCGTAGAAGACCATGTCACAAACCAGTGACGATTATTTTCACAGCGATATACAGTCCGTTTGTCAAAGAACATATACTAATAAATTGAGACACAATCACTAAATTTTGACTGAGTGACCACGCTCTTAATATTGAAGTGAGCGCCACAAAAGAATCCCTCTGAATGACAGAATTTGTAACATGTGTAATCAGAACCAGGTGGAAGATGAAACCTATTTTCTTATCAAATGCAATAAATACCAGGATCTCAGAAACGATTCAGTATTTGCAAACTCACGCATCCACAATATCAATAGCAAATCACCAGACGCTACCCTCAGGGGAAGTGTAAAATAAAATAAAAAATTATGCTACTTTTTAAAAAAAAAAATGACGACATTATTTTTACATTGCCGAATACCACCGTTCCCGGGGCAACAAAATAATATTTATTCAACATTTACATACCAACCCAAGTGAGTTTTTACGCAAGGTGTGAATTAGGTTTGTCGACACAAGCTGGACTTAAATTAGCAGTCACTTGATCAAATGAACAGTTTAAAAACAGTGCATGCCAGGGGCGCTTTTTCTTAATGTGCATTTGCAATGAAAGCTACAACAGTGGTCGACATGGTAATATATCAACAACAAAGCATGCACACAACGTATAGGAAATGAGTGAGTAATTTGCGTGAGCTGCGACATTTATAGTGATGTTCTGTGCGGTACCTGAGACCCGTAATTGCTTGTCTCGACAATTGAAAAATAAACTTTATATAATGGAAAGTAATAAATCAGAACAGGTCTTCGTACTTCTTTAACGAGGTAAGAATGTACAAAAAATCGTTAATACTGAGTAGAGGTTTCGCGGTGAGTAGAATACCGCAGCGAGTATTCACGGTTGATGGGATAACGCAGTGTGTGGAATGCCGCAATCACTGGTTGTCTTCCGACCTGGCTCTCATACAGTGATATGGAGCTTGCAAAGTCGTGAAAATATAACCGCCACCATCACCACGTATATTTAATGTGGTATTATTGTTCACTGTAAAAGTTCACATTTCCGTCAATGCAAATATGCGTTACCGGTATTGGGTCAAGCTTTTGAAAACAGGAAAACAAAACACGTCATACAATGGTTGTTTCATGGTAAAATGAGAAGAATGACTGTACTCATAATTTGACCATAATTATAATCGATATTCGAGAATTATGATAAATCAACCAATAATCCATATATATATGTATACAGACATAGATTATTCACTTAGTAAATTAACGTAATTCCATATTCCATCATTTGAAACAAATGTTCAAATTTGCCAAATGTACTCCTTTTAATTTCTGAATAAATTTTAAATATAACGCGGCTTCAGTGATTCATAGTATTTTACATATAAATATATTTCATACTATGATGGTAAAGAGTTTCGGCCACTACAGTTCACAATTGGTTGTTATCTGAGAAGATTATTATTGTTATTCGGAATTTTACATAGTACATACATAGATCAATCGAGATTCTGGCTTCAAGCTCAAGTCCATGTAGATGACGTAAAGATATATATTGTCAATTTTGAGAAAATAAAATAGTATAGTTTCACGAAAAATCTGCTGATTTGATCAGAACATCGTCAGTAATAGATGAGGTTGTTTTTCGTGTCTTAATGTGCCACCTGAGATTAAACATATCTCAGTAACAAACTGAACAACATGCAGTAATTAATCAGTTTTATGGCGTTTTGTCGTGATTATAACGGCGTCTCGATGATGATGAAATGCTTTGTTGAGAAAATTACATCGTTATAGATAGCAGAGAATAAAAGTCAGAAAACGCTGTCTAAAATTAACCTATTTTGAATAAATAAACGCGACCTCAACACATTTTGATATAGATAAAAAATAACCATTCAATTTCAGGGACGTTTTGCTACGAAATGTCTTATCTTTTTAATAACAAAGATACACATACTATAACAACTTATTAAAATGAGCTATGTGATAATTATATTCTTATTTACAGATATCTTAACATGAATCCTGAAAAAAACGAGTCGATGCGACACTTGAAATTATTTTTTCTTAGAATATTTTATAGCTAGGAATTAGTTATTTCATCAGTTGCTGTAGGTTGCCAGTAATGAATTGACGGAAATGGTAGGATGACGGGAAATATAGCGTAGAATTTCACTCATGATCCTATTACAATATCAATATCAGAGACGTAAATGTGTCACCGTGTCTCATTGTTATATAAGCACCTTGTATTGATATGTATTCACTGACGTGTTGCAGATATCTTCACAACTCATAATCCTATACCCAATGTGTTCCATTCTACTTCTACCTTACACTGTAATCCCATCAATGTCATTTATGGTGCAACATGTAATTGAAATGTACACAGTCGCGACTAATGTCGATTCGGATTCGAGATGTTAAGTTGAGTGACGTTGATATCACTGTGTTGACTGCGAGTATGTATGCCAAACTGTCAACATAATATGCACACATGTATTCAATTTTAGACTTAATGTTTTATATCAATATGATTCCAAGAGATAAAACTAATTGTTTGTTTCAATATCAGTGACGGAAATGTAGTATAATTATTCACATACTTTTATGGCAGTGTTTCATTTTAATAACATGGGGTGACTGGGAAATAATATTCCTAGAAAATTGTTTACAATCTGAATATATTCATTCATTTACTAATTATTGTTGTTTTTCTGTGGGAAAAATTTATCACAATGTTCAAAATTTTGCTCTAGGCATACTACAAGGTAGGTAGCACGTCTGCCAACTATGGCGAGGCGATCGTCGTATAATAATAAAAAGTTCATGTTGAATATTGTTACTACAGTATGTTTCCAGATGTCAATAACTTACACAAATAGTACGTTTCCTTGACGACGCAAAATAATATAAATTCTATTGAATGTTTGATGTAACATGTATGGTATATATATGAGCTAGACATCATTCACTTTGAACTTGAACTGTGCTGATGATCAACAACACAAATGCGAAAGAAATCGACCTGGGTAATCATGAAAATCGTCGACTTCCGTATTTCCGGGCGAGTGACTGTGACATTTATGAATGTGCGTATTTCAACACAGTTCCGTGTTAATATCGCTGAATTTTACATACTGTTATAATTAATTATGCATGTACAGACATGAACATGGTCACCTCGGTGACATTGATGATTGAACGGTTCAATCAATTAAACTCATACATCCAAAAACTGAAACCCGAGCCGTCGCGCAATAAGGATGATCGAACACTTTTGATCGTCGCTTAAAGACAATTTTAAGAATCGTACGCGTCTAATGACATTTGAAATAGACTTAATGATCTGAGGGCGATTTTTCATTAAATTGTTTTTGTGTCATATTGCCATGACAATATACATTCACAGAGCTGTGCTGTTTAAATATTTATCTGCAGCAATGGATATCCTGTAATAACGTGGTTTTATGAAGGACGATTAGAGATAAACTATGTATCTTATGAAATTAATATTTCTGTTTTCAATTGCCGGTCGTTCGCCACAAACCGACCACGCACCGACAGACAGTTACTTTGTGTACGTTCTGCAATCTAGGATTTGTGTTCATAATTTATTTCTACTCAGATATGTGATAAATTGCTCGTGAACTGTGAGGGAACGGTATTTTTAGGGGAAAATATAATGTGATATTCTTAATACATTGTACCTGTATGTCTTTTGTTACGACCTAATAGTGTAAAATATTGACATTTGGTTATTATTTAGTGCTGGTCAATCACGGTGGTATGCATTCAATGCAGCCATGGAGCTTTCTAGATCCATGGTGCAGCCAATGTAATATTTATTCAAGACCCGTGGTTACGGTGATTCATTATTCTTTGATTGAATCGGAATATTGGTTTCCAATGACGTAATCATGGACGATTGCTGTCACGCATTCTGTCATGTGTGACAAGAAAACTAAATATTGAATTGGAGTCAATATCAAAGTATTACATTTGTTTCCAATTAAAAACACAGGTAGAATATCCGTTGGTCTGAGTTCAATATATCACGTAGTATCTATCCCCTGTGGTCGGTAAATTTTCATTTTTAATTATCCGAACATACAATTGTTATTATGCAATGTGAGTATTGGCTTCCACAATATATGACCGGCGTTAATGACATGTCGGTGCATGTTTTTGATTAAATGTAGCCTGTGTAAAAGTGATACGCAAGACTGGACATGTTAACACAACAACAAATGCGACTTAAAATTAATTAAACATTTATTATAATATTAATATAAATGATTATATTGAATTGTGAACGAGATTTTACGTCTATTGTTGGTCGGATTATATATTTAAATCGACCATGTTGACTATATTTACAAAAGCGCACCCGGCTTTGTCCGCTCATTGAAATGGACAGCGTATATACTGGGAACATTTTGTGCTAACTGTAGATAATCATAATACCCCCTTGAATCTAGGGGAAATCACAGTCACACGTCTTTGTGAGTAATACAGTATTGTACGGAAAAATAATCGCACTTACCAGTAACCACATCACAGTGCCAGCAAGACCAGCAGAGATGAGAATAATAAGTAAAAGTGGCCATCCTTCGAAGATAATGTTTACCATATCAGAACCAACTTGTCGACTTTGGTCAATGGCCATCACCAGAACAGCGCCCGGTGATTGTATTACGGGTATGAACACCGTACTATTGCTTTTACATGGTTGCAAATAAGGAAATGCTACTGGCAGAGCCATTGTCACATTTCCATCGTTGTACTTGATCTCAAGATCAATACCGTTGCCGACTTGTGTCGTGTAATCGACACTATATACGTCCTGGTAGCATCTTTCCATCATTTCTCCGAGTACAGTCGGCAGAACGCCATCTACCACACCATCGTCCGCAGCATAGCTATAAGGTGGGAGCTCTCGCCACACGGTGTCCAACACAGTCAGATTATCCCATGACGATCCACTGGTTTTCTGCATTGACACGGCGCATATGCATAGTATAGCAAATCTGAAAGAGGGAACTTGGAACACATTTCCCATTGTAAGATTGCCCTCGTCTTTGATAAAAATAGGTGATGGTACTGGCGGTAAATAATAATCAGGAAAGCATCTTTTGAGATCTGAGACATCGACATGAGTGAAATATTACGCCATCGTCATCGCATCGAATGCAGCGATGTTTTCATTCCATTCAAACCGCGTGTTAAATAAATAATACATGTTGTAATCAATTATTGATATTGATCTCCTATTTAAAATGTTGATTTCCGTTCTGTAAAGCCAACTGGCTGCAAAAAAGTTGTTAATGATAAATCAGACCCTTTAGGTTCGATATGATTATGTACGTGCACTCACTGAAAAATAAATGTATTATTATGATATTCTACATGTATTATTATTTTGTATATAAATACAACTGTTAAACGTGTACAATCAGCATGTTAGCAGCTGCGCATGTGCAGAACGCTGGATTATTTAAATTTGTATTAATATGGAGACAAATAAAAAAAGTTGTCGCGTCCTAGGTCATGTATTTTTGAACTTACTTTCTGAGCTAGCGACATGTGTCGCCATTTTGATTTAATGCTATTATTGAAATATTGCACAAATACATTAAGTACATTAAACGATATAGACATCCAGCCAATTACGTACGCCGTACCGCGTACGTTCCAAGTGACTGCGTACCGTGTACAATCCAAGGGACCGTTCACTATTTCAGACATATCAGCATATATTTCATAATACAATACAGTTGCTGCGGCGTGAATACTTCGTAGAATACAGAGGATAGTTAAATGGATATGCGTATAATATATATTCAGTTCATTATATCTAAAAATCTGGTGAATGACATGTGCAATATTCATCAGCTTGGGCAGGTACGTGTGCTAACAGCTGGATTATTTTTTGGACCCGTCCGCTGATGTATGAATTAAGATAACAAAAACAGTGTTTTTTCTAGTTCAACTAATTGCAGAAGCAAGAATATTTATTCAACAAGAAGAACACGGGCACAAAGTTTATAACGAGTAGCCGTATGAATCGAAAAACATTTTGGTGAATCAACGGTCGTTATGAACTACATAATTTACTAAAGCGCCCTCAACGCTTCAACAAGCGTACACCAAGAGCAAAGACGGCAAGCAGAAAGAATAGAAATGGTACAACGCTAGGATTTTTTCACAAAAGAAATGCATATCATTGGCATGGAAACCATTCCATCCATGAATGATATATCGTGTCGCTTTCAAAGTTTCATCTGAATCGGAGCGATGATCCCCCACCACCGCCAACCCAATGTTCTATTGGTTGTAAGCAATACGTCATATCTCATATATATGCATATTAAATTTTCGGCCTTGTTTGTTTCCTGTCAGAATGGTTTCTCAGACAAAACTTAGCGGTTTACATTCAAATACCCCAGCTATTTTTATTACACTTTTACACTTAAATGCATTTCGCAATTCAAATTATTCCTAACATTATTCCAGTCTGGGCGATAACTCCCGTCAATTGCAAATTTTCACTCAAATGTTTTAAATGATGGCGCCCTCCTTAGCAACCTTTAATTACGATGTAACCGCTAAGTAACTTGTTGTTTTATTCGACATTACCATAAAGCAATATAGATGTCAACATTATAAAATAACTTATAGCGACTTTTGTCAAGTGATTATAAATATAGTCTTATTTTTATATTCTTAAGAAATAGAAAACACGCATATTCAAAACTGCCACCGTAATTGCAGAGCCGCAACTAAATTAAACGTGTACGTAATCAAAAGGTATATAGTCGGGTCACACATAATATGATATTCGTGTTTCAATCCGGGTATTCAAGATATGAACAGTATACGCTTTGACCACTGAATAAACTGTACTATTTAAAAGCGGTAGCGTCGTCATTTGCGTATGTTACTCGAGTTTTGGTTTCGATTGGTTGGAAGATCGAACACCTTAAAACGAAATAAATCATACTCAGTCACATGTTGGGGGCGTCGCCGCCCCTCCAAAATCAAGCTGAAACTCTTTTGTGTCCGCAAAATTTGCCCCTCAAAATGCAGGGAATAACGTTTCAGGGAGTCTCAATTGCAACATTGTTAAGGGGGAACATGCCCCCGCTAGTAAGGTCGCGCCTTCGGCACAAGGTTGGTGAGCAGATCTCGCCCCCTCTTGCAAAATTTGGTGCCGCCGCCTCTGATAGTAGTGTTTCATATTAATGGTACAGCTAATTATCTCATGTACATTATAAGGTACACTGGTAATTACGTCAGCGAATATTCTGGCGAGGGCGGAGTGACCGTGACACATAATGATCTACATGGAAGAGTATCGTGCACGGGGCATACCAGCAGAATTTTAAATTTAAAACCCCTGATATTGATACGTGGTGTGAGGTTTGATCCGATACAGTACATTCCTAATTATATAATGACGTTTATATTTTGCATTTGTTTGATTTGTTTCCCAAAATAAGTACTGTTGAAATACTTTTGGAATTAATTTATTTTTGCTATTTTTTGCTGAAGTGATGATTCAGTGAAAATAAAAACCAGCGAATGTACCTTTTATCTATATTTTACATTCAACTCATCAAAAATCATTGAAAATAAATTTTCAGTGAAAATTAATTCCGGCTAAAACCACAGACCTTAAGGTCTATGCTAAAACAAAGTATTTTACAGTACGTGATAAGGAGAGTCCCTTTATACAGAGCTCTCTGCATAAGGGACTCCAGTGACGACTCAAGTGATAAGTGGTGAAGGGCGCCCTCGTATTTCCTTATTTTGCCGAAAGCGGCGCACCTCAAAAAATAGTGAACGGTACATTTATAGATCAGCTCACATATAACAAATGATTCATTCTTACCTTCCTAAAAAAATGCTCAGATCTCCGAACATTTGTTTGTATTCAGAAAGATTATATACAATGAGAGCTTATAGTAAGTTAACTTCTTAATGGTGTAAATCCATGAAGCAGTCGTAATCTGGCCGGTTAGCTCAGTTGGTTAGAGCGCGGTGCTAATAACGCTGAGGTCGTGGGTTCGATCCCCATATCGGCCATGTTCAATTTTTTTTTCTCAGTTATTTCAATTTATAATTGTACATACGATTAGTATGCGTTTTTTACTTGCAAATGTGTATAGATTATGTATTTTTTACTTCAGTCTACTTCAATTATTTTATTTGGATGGTACAATGTACCATGTACCACAATGTACGGTGTATGATAGACACGATACAGCAATACTAACAGATAACATACATATATTATTTTTTTCATAATCAAATCTTTGTCAATGACCTTCGTTTCTTAAGCAACAATCGGCGACCTTCAATATTAATTTAAATCACGGCCTGACACAGTTGGTGTGCATCATTAATAAAATTCACATGTTTTCGTCCATATATTGCGACTTTAAATATCACCTATATAAAATATTGTGACAGTTGCTGTTTAGAGCGTACATATTTCATCAACAAGCAAACAATGTTGTGTACATCATAAAAGTCAAATTACTGTTTTATATTCTGTTTAATTTCTCTAATAAATATACCCCTCGGATATATATTCTAAGAACAGATCGGAAAATAATGTGCATAGAGTGTACCTGTTATCCGTTGAGGGATGTGGAACGATAACGAGGCGTGTGACGATCGTATTCACATTTCCAAACCAAGTGAATCTTCACTCAGAAATACCGGCAGGAAGATCACCTTATGTGAAACCAGACAAGTATAAGAAACTGTGAAAAACAGGTATAAAGGAACAATTACATTTTAAAATAATAATTTATAATATTTTTTTTTAAATGTGTCAAAGAAACACTAACCGCTCACTATTCGTATATGTAGCCAGAATTTGTTGCAGATGAGTTGGTATATGTGTCATATTTTTGTCATAATGTTCTCAACGACCGCTGAATGTTCTCTCTTAATTCACACAAAACTGAACTTTCCGCCGGCCATAGCTTTAACGCAGTATATCTCTGCTCAAAACATCGTGGCCTTGAAGCACCGGCCCAAACAATAACAGTAGAGAAACTGTGGCATTATGGTACTGAATTATGTCATTGACAACACTCAAACAATAACAGAATTCTAATTTATGGCCTTCAGCATACCCAAAAAATAACAAAATTCTGATTTCTGGTCTTCAGCACACCTAAACAATAACAGAATTCTGATTTCTGGTCTTCAGTACACCCAAACAATAACAGAATTCTGATTTCTGGTTTTCAGTACACCCAAACAATAACAGAATTTTGATTTCTGGTTTTCAGTACACCCAAAAAATAACAAAATTCTGATTTCTGGTCTTCAGCACACCTAAACAATAACAGAATTCTGATTTCTGGTCTTCAGTACACCCAAACAATAACAGAATTCTGATTTCTGGTTTTCAGTACACCCAAACAATAACAGAATTCTGATTTCTGGTTTTCAGTACACCCAAACAATAACAGAATTCTGATTTCTGGTCTTCAGTACACCCAAACAATAACAGAATTCTGATTTCTGGTTTTCAGTACACCCAAACAATAACAGAATTCTGATTTCTGGTTTTCAGACACCCAAACAATAACAGAATTCTGATTTCTGGTTTTCAGTACACCCAAACAATAACAGAATTTTAATTTCTGGCCTTCAGCACACCCAAACAATAACAGAATTCTGATTTCTGGTCTTCAGTACACGCAAACAATAACAGAATTCTAATTTCTGGCCTTCAGTACACCCAAACAATAACAGAATTCTGATTTCTGGTCTTCAGTACACCCAAACAATAACAGAATTCTGATTTCTGGTCTTCAGTACACCCAAACAATAACAGAATTCTGATTTCTGGTCTTCAGTACACCCAAACAATAACAGAATTCTGATTTCTGGTCTTCAGCACACCCAAACAATAACAGAATTCTGATTTCTGGTCTTCAGTACACCCAAACAATAACAGAATTCTGATTTCCGGGTTTTGAACACACACTCAAACAATAACAGAATTCTGATTTCTGGGTTTTGGACACACACACAAACAATAACAGAATTCTGATTCTGGGTTTTGAACACACACACAAACAATAACAGAATTCTGATTTATGGTCTTCAGCACACCCAAACAATAACAGAATTCTGATTTCTGGTCTTCAGTACACCCAAACAATAACAGAATTCTGATTTCTGGTCTTCAGTACACCCAAACAATAACAGAATTCTGAGTTCTGGGTTTTGAACACACCCAAACAATAACAGAATTCTGATTTCTGGCCTTCAGCACACCCAAACAATAACAGGATTCTGATTTCAGGGTTTTGAACATACCCAGACGCTAAAAAAATTCTGATTTCTGGTCTTCAGCACACCTAAACAATAACAGAATTCTGATTTCTGGCCGTCAGCACACCCAAACAATAACAGAATTCTGATTTCCGGCCTTCAGCACACCCAAACAATAACAGAATTCGGATTTCTGGGTTTTGAACACACACACAAACAATAACAGAATTCTGATTTCTGGGTTTTGAACACACCCAAACAATAACAGAATTCTGATTTCTGGCCTTCAGAACACCCAAACAATAACAGAATTCTGATTTCAGGGTTTTGAACATACCCAGACACTAAAAAAAATTCTGATTTCTGGCCTTCAGCACACCTAAACAATAACAGAATTCTGATTTCTGGCCTTCAGCACACCCAAACAATAACGAATTCTGATTTCTGGGTTTTGAACACACCTAAACAATAACAGAATTCAGCTTTCACACGAGTGGCATGTACGCTTGATGAGTCTGCGAGATTCCATAGTGATCGATGTTGTCATGACCCCAAGTTAACATTCACTGGTATATTCTTTAAAATAAGTGTTCACATTAACTTATTTTCTGAATAGAACTAAGGGTGTGTTGTCACTTGAAATAGTTTCCATTGAACGCAGACCACGTGTGTGGTTAGTACCTGACACGGCAGACACGGCAATGTAAATAATGTGTTTCATTACAGGTCGGCGCCCTCAAGTCTTTTTATCTAGGCTTTCAACAAACAAATACCTTCCTTCCGATTATCCGTTAGCTCTCAGCTGTACCATCAACCATATTGTTGTTTTACATGTTTGTTTTCCAACCCCGCCCGTCTGATTAATTTCCCCAGACTTTCCATATTAGGAGTTGTCGTTTAAATCACAAAGATGAATTGCTGATTCAAGCAATATATTGTATTGGAGTACGGGTTTTCACGTCAACCTATTGTCGTTTGTATAAAGGTGTAAAATCTGTTGAAAGCATTGTCGTCCCGGAGATCAGTTCTTAAAAAAAGAAACAATGTCTACATAGAATATGTGTTGATTGTATCATGGCCACTTGTCGGGCCTTTTTGTATGAGTATTCGTGACTATAGTCGTTGTTATGCAACGTAACCTCTCTATTTTTAGTAACGCTGGTTGTAGACACGCATGCTCACGTAAAATTCAACAAAGTTAAAGCAGGAGTCGTCACCTGCGCATGTGTCAGATGGCCATAGCGTGTCATTGCTTACAAACAAGCGTCTACCCATGAGTCTTTGCGTTTTTAACGTGTGTTGTTATCGTCGCTTGGGACTCAATTCCCGCGCATGAGCAGGTAACGACTCTCCCGCTTTAAACAAAGTCGGTCAGATTCATATAATAATACATGTAGTGTAAAGTGTGATACTAAATGTAGTTTGCTGTGTAGAAGAAAATCTGCCAACATAATGCATTCCACGATGAACCGTCTTCATTAAATATATGTAAATGTCAAAACAGTGTACAATTATGGAATCAACATCAATGCAATGGTGCGATAAATGCGTCACGTGGTCCAATTTTTTGAGTATCCTCAAAATCACTCCTTTGGGGCAGTCAGAGGTTTACAGTTTCTCTATGCATTGTCAGTATTGTTTGCTCTCGTAACGCTTGACCTGCCGTTTTAGCCATTCTATTTACCCTTTTATTTCATTGGCTGTAACACATTCTGTCTATTGAGAATATTGAGGGAATGTAGGTGTAACTACTTTATATAAAAAGAACACTTCATTAAGTATTACCAGTGTCAATTATATACCCGGGACAAATCGCTCGCAATTTACCGACCTCAAAGGAAGCCTCCTCTATTAGCTATGAATTACACCAAAGACTATAGAGAAGAGGGACAGAGAACTGTCTTTGATTACACTAAACATGAGATAAATTGTATTTGATATTTACTTTGCCACCTATCACAGTTCGTTTGAATGTTTATAGATGCATGCAGTGATTTGCAGAAAATCTTTATTTTTGTCATTTTAGAAAGTTTATTGAATTTGTGCGATTATATATGAATATTTCTGATGGAGGTCAGAATCAAGACTAGAGTCCATGGTAGGCCGATAACAACGTTGTGACACGCATTTTGGAGGTAAAAATATGTTTACCTCCATGCATGCATACATATATATTGGGTGGTTCTGTTGCTGGGAGTATCAGCCATTTTGAAATGCGTAACTAGTAGGTTAAGACCCATAATGATATACGCTATTGTAAGATAGTTTCAAGATCACATATTCGAAGCCTCGCTTGGCTGTCAGATAACTGGCGGCAATAAGCACAGTGTAGCTGCTAAAACTTGTTTCCAAAATGAGGGGACTATAATAGATTTGTATCCATCTCACTTAATGTGTTGTTATTTGCATAACAATAAACATGCATTTGCATACTAATCAGGTTCGAATACCTGTTGCAATTGAGTGCATCCGTGACACTAATAGTCTGACAACCCTGGTATAAATTATGCAACAAAATAATCGCCATACCCGCAAATCTGCAGTAAGGCGGCGGTATATGTGCCACCATTTGGGTAAATAAACTTGGTAAGACAGCATGACCAACACAGGAAGGGAACTACTAGACGCAGTGTCAATGACGAAAGGGTTCTATTGTAATCGGACAATGTAGTTTGACCAAATTGAATATTCATCAGCTTGATATTTTTCCTTTCAATTGTTTGAAGGGTGAGTGCATTCTTGGCATCTTATTGACCAACCCTAAGGTGTGTGTGACACACTGGGGTGTTGGCACTGCCTTCTCGCCAACATTCTCAATCTATTGATATGCATATATCTGGCCCAGTATTACTGCCTCACTAACTGACGAGTTAAGGTAGACCGGTTGTGACGATCAGTCCGAGGAGGATTTTTATTTTATGCTGTTCACCAATATGCCAAGGATTCGTAGCACATAGGATTATAACTTTAGGACTGGTTTATATAAATCTCATTTTCAACAAGACAATATTTATTTTCAGCATGCACGGATTAGTTTTAATTTTAACAATCGTAGTGTTGTTACCAGTGGTGTTATCGGAAAACGGTAAGTAAAGAGTCGTTTATATGTTGCCAGATCGGTCAGTGGTTCCTCTTTATTATGATGCCAATATTTACTCTAATTAATAAACCTGTTACTAAAAGTACTACAACTTTTAACCAGGTACAGTTAGCACTATCGAAACAATACGTGTTGTGTTGTGTTGTGTTGTCAGCTGGCTGTTGTGACTTGCTTCAAAACTTAAAAGCGATGATTTAACAGGGAATCGCGCATTTTGATTATACATTGGATTAAGTGAAATTTGGTTATCTGTTATAAGTACACACTTATATTTATGATTGGATTATAACTGAGACAAAAAAAAGATGTGTTTAATCCAACGCATGGATCAATCACAAACTGTAAGTTGAACTGAAAGATAAACACAACGACCATTAGAACTTGATTTAATGATCAAGTTGTTTGCCCAGAGAGTGTTCGGAGTAACCATGGAGTAATACACATGGAAAATATTTCCAACACTGCGAAAAGATCCCGTCGAAACACCATGCAGCAAGAGGCGGTGGGTGTCCGTAACGTCGGCCCGGTATGTGAGCACATAACTTGTAGGAGGCCATTTTGTCTTTACCCTTTAAGACGCCGAGCCATTTTATTGATTTTTACCACACTATAGTAAATTATCATACATTTACGCATTCTCGTGTATTGTATAACATATTCAACAATATTCTAGAAATAATGGCTCGCGACCAACGTTGTACGTGGTTTTACCAACCAGTAACCTTGTCTCAGGTATTCGTCACTGTATTCTAGGACGCCATTACTGTACGATCATCGTACCTGATGTCACGTTGGCCATTCTTCGGTGACACCCAAGCCATAAATCTGTCCAACGAAAGAAAGTAATACGCTCACTATACATGTACATACATACGTTGGACAGGGGGTCCAGAGTTCTCTGAGAATAGACCATAGACTTAACCGTTGCACCAGCGTGTATGCTATCTGTGCTCTTATTGGTCATAACTTAATCGTGACAGACACACTGTCCCATTCTTGTTAGCATATATTAATAATATAATTAAAAATATATTTCAGAAATAATTAAATATCCCGCGATAAATGAATCATAACATGTCTTCAATACTATTTTGCAAATTTCCATATCTAAATAGTTATTTCCGAACAATAAAATAATCTCTCCATTGTTGTCATTACACAAACGTGATTATATTATTAATGTAGACAGGTCCGCCATGTTTAACCTGATCAGGGCGTTGCCTCCATTTACCGACGAATGAGTAACACAGTAGCAAAGGAAACGCAGTGAAACCGCCTCGCTGGGCATCGATCTTAAAGCCACAAAACTCGCACCAAGCTTACAATGACATACAGCCGCCAATATTGAACCGCGTATATTGTCAATCCATTTAGAGATGTCATATGGTTTCCAATTCACGGTTCTTTCTGTTAGTTCGTCTGTGTTCGTACGACTGTAACCATTTACCAACCCAAGGAATATAATGGATATCGCTATTCGTTTAGTATTCATTGCATTTATCACAATTTCGTCACTTTGTCAGAAAACCAAAGCTCTCGGAGGTAAATATGTTTTTTAAGTGTTTCGAATAATTTATATAATAATTTATCAAGTATTTTCTTGATTTATTATTATCTATTACACATACGAATATGTAACTATTTTCCCCCTGTATCGCTGGGTCATTCACATAATATGTGTAAACACTGCGATAATTCTATCTAATGGTAGATACATTCTATACTAAATAATATTATTTTAGAATTGCTGTAACTGTGAATTAATTCGTGATCACATATTTATTTAAAATATTAATATTAGCGCCTAATTACTGTATTTAATCAATGTGTATTTTTAAGTAGTCAATACGCATATCAATTTAAGGTGATTCTGATCGAACTTTTAATTTGATCAGTTTTTCCACATATATAACATAAAATATAAACATGAAATTGTTAAAACCACTCAAAGATGCCTTTAGGTAAAACAGGCAGATTAGAACTCGCACAAGTTGTTGTTGAATTAATTTCCCTTTCAATGTTTACATAATGATATTTTCATTTCTATCGAGCTCTTTTGCCGTATATAATTGAACATTTTCAGAATAATTTCCAGATACCCAACATAACTATAACAAGATGGGTCTGGTATATCCACATTTGTGGGAAAAAATGCACACATTTAATTTGAAGAAAAATAGGTGTGAAATTAGTCGTTATCGTGCCGGGGGCCGCCATCTTGGATTTGTATTGTGTACTATACACGGTTCCGATCACACTATGACGAGGTCATGCGAGCATCTACCTTTGTAACGCGGTGTGGTTTAACAAAAACATCGCTTTTTAATCGTTTATATACTAGTAATATGTATTACATTTTCACGCTGACAAAAAATATTTCTAAGAACAGTTACATTTACGTGATTATTATCACAATGGCCGTCGTAGCTTGTGTTTGGAAACGCAACTACTGCCATTGAGGCAAAGTTAGTGGAAGTGAACCCGGTAGACATAGACATGGAGCAGACAAACACGTAGTTAAATAAACGGTAATTAAATTGCTCACAAAAACTAAATAATCGAATCATAAAATATGTAAATTCAAACATTAATTGTGTAATGGCAGTGTTCTTAATTATTTCAGTTTTGTATATACTATCAGGTCGGTATCAATACTTAAATATTACTTGATGATATACACATTGTATTTAGAATCACACACATTCAGTCATGGGGACGAATTATTCAAATTAATTCAACATAATATAATGCAAGGGCTATCAAATCGTCTTCGCAGAAACTGATCCAACTGACTCGAAACAAAATTGCAAAAGAGATTTCACAAAAAATCTAAAACTGATCATGATGCCGTTAGTATCTGTATTTTACACTGTCGTGCAATCAAGACATGAGCATCGGTTTCCCGGAAATTAACCTAATGATAAATTAAAACATATATTCAGAATAATCATTATTGTTCAGAGAAACAAGAACGTATACAATGCGCAAATATGTTTTATTTTTTTAACCTCTTGTATATTTTGCAATACCTACATCGCCCTCTGGTGGCACAATTGTGCCATTATGATACGTTATTGGATTAATTATGTTGCTGATCACGTCCACTATGCTACGCTACATTATTACGCATTTATTTCAGACAAATGTTTCCATATAAAAAAACATACAACATAACCAAAAAACAATTGCCCACAAGGTGTCATTATTGTTTTTATTATTAGTGTTAAATCCAACAAGGCTGTAACAAAGTTAGCTCCATATCACGTCTCTATTCCATGAAGTAGTCAATATACTATTGGCGGTCAAGCAAACACGCTCTCTAAAACGTGGGCGTGGTTTTTAAAATATGGGCGTGACAAATGACAGTTATTTTCATCTTATCTATAAATCAAATCAGTTCATTATATTGATAGAATTAACAATGCGAAATGTTGTTGTTTTGAAAAAATATTTATATTAAAAACTGTGTTTTGATTACTAAACCCTTATTGTCATGGTGATGAACAGGTGGTTTCTAGAGTTTATTATATAAAAGTACTTGCATAAATGTGTCGTATATTGGTGTTGACTCGCTCGGTGTAATATAGGTCACATTACATAATAAGTTAGCACAGCAATTATTAAACTACCGCTAACTACACCTTGTCACAATTTCTACACAGAATGTTTAAGCAGTCCTTGTGTAAACTCAGCTGTATGTAGAGATGGACTGGGTGTTGATTACTATACTTGTGAATGTAATGATTCAGGGCCTGGAACCGCACCAGTCTATCACGGACAAGACTGTTCAGAATTCACAGGTAATTATACATGTACAGTTTTATACTATATTATACACGTGGTTCATTTCATACATTTATGTCTACATGTAATTGGAATAGAAGATAATGTCATATCTCACTTTCATCCAAGGTTCCAATTGTGGAGGGGCTCACTACGACCCCACAGGAATAGTGACGTCACCTGGTTATCTCCAAGGACTGAACTATGACAACAGGCTTTATTGCGTTTATTTGATACGAGTGCACGGAGCGGCTGCAATAACCATGACAATTACAGACTTCCAGACTGAGCTTAACAAGGACGTTCTTGAGATTGGAACGGGACCGTACGTTGATTTTACGAATACAGTGTGGTCACTCGAAGGAAATCTGACTACACCTCGAACCATTGTTGCAAACGATCACCAGGTTTGGATGCTGTTCACAACAGATCGGAACATACCACAAAAAGGATTCCATATCGAATATACTGGCGGTAAGTGATGTCATCGTCAATATCTACAATATTTCTGTAAATGAAACAATTTTAAACTTAATAATGCATATGATACAAAGTGGATTTATTTTGAGGCAGTCGATTTATAGCAGTTTTTTGTTTCTTCCCTTGTCATTTCGCTGATCCTCCCCTCCCCTATTCATAACTGCGAGGGCGCAATCGCACCTCGCAAGTGGCGAGACGGATATCGGCGAGACGTGTTTACAAAATACTAACGATTTTTTGTATTCTTCAGATGGTGATGACTGTGCCACATTTCCATGTCAAAATGGAGCTACATGTATTGATGGTGTCTTAAGTTATACATGCCAGTGTGCTGCCGGCTGGACAGGCACACATTGCGATATTAGTAAGTACCGGTACACGGGAAAAATTTATACTACGTATTGTCATAATGAAACACAAGCAATCCCATTCCCATGGTTACATATAATTTATCGACCGTAACCTGAGGCATTCGTACCAGAACAAAAATCAGACATCGTTGTCAGTGTTCGTATACCAAAGCCCCGAGTGGAGTCCTTTATTTACCATGAGACTCTCACTGAACAGCCGGGTTGTCAGTTTTGCGAAGAGCCAGCACACACGACTGTACATGGACCTACTACAGTACTTAGCTGCGGTTCCGTAGCTCTTTGGTGCGACCTACATTCGAATTTCGCCCTAACAATTTCATTTGGACGTCTTTTTAATTTTGTTGTTGTACGTCGAACATAGGGGCCGGCCAGAGTCAGTCACGTAAATAATGCGGTCGGCAACATAGGGCTATGATTCCACAGCGACTACAGTACTATGCAAGAGCTGATTAGTTTTGTTCAAACTTGATTACATATGATGAAAAGTTCACACCATACCTCAAAACTGTTGATGAATGCTATTTACTTTTTTTATACTCCCAAGTCAGACCTGGTACCCATCCATGCTTTTCAAAAATGCCTTTAAACACATACTTATTTTTGTGAATTTATACCCCATTTCAAGTGCAGAAACTTAAAATAGATACCCTATATAAAAAATATATTATTTCGTGTCAAATAAAATATACTATACTATACTATCAGAGGTACATTACTTGGGGTTTGCAACTCGCATAGTACTGTATGGTGACATCATGTCAAGATCCCATTCAAGTCTCTTCTCGTAGATAGCGAGACTGAGGCTACGACCTTCTGACATGTGTTGCATATCAATGTTCAAGGTTTGTAATGAAAAAAATAAACTTTTCTTGTCACTATCATAGTGAAAAATGTAATACATCGAAAATGTACAAAAAATATAGTTCTTGTAATCCGTCATATCGTGGGCAGCTATTTCGATCCACCTGTACATCCCAGTATCCTAGTTACCTCGGGCATGCGCATTCGCATTTTTTCTGAGTTGGAACGCTTATGCGAGAGCGAGATTGTGACGGGATCTTGGTATCATGTCACCGTAGTTACAAACCCCAAGTAATGTACCTCTGATACTATATACATACTAAAATCACACTGTTTCTAAGTTGAGGTAACATGATTTCATGAGATTTCTTTTATACTAAATAGAGGGGAGGCAAGCGAGGGTTATTTTCGTTCAACGTAATTGCAATATTTTTTTGTTCGTACAACGTAAATTGAAAAAATAAATTCCGTAATTCTGTAATCACAGGCTAGACGTACAACGTAATCAATCAAATATTTTTTTCATACACTGTAAAATGTGTCATTTTTCTCGGTACATACAAGAATTTACATCCAAATAAAAAAAAGTCGTAAAGGGAAGTTACATTTTTGAAACTGTAAAACGACTGCAAAATTCAATTTTCATTGTTAACTGTAAAAACATCTTTTTTTCTTTGTGAATTGTAAAACGCCCTTTTTATTTCTTGTAAAACTGTACCAGCTACCCCCTTGCCCCTCTAAATAACACCCCTTTTATGTGTTTATTTACTTCTGCTTGGTTACCATATTTTATTCAGAGAACCCCCCCCCCCCCGGGTGTATTTATGCTTAGTAATGCTACATTTGAATTCACAAAATTAAATAGTGTATCTACCGTACTTGCAATCTTTCAGATATCGATGAATGTTCCAGTGGTCCATGTCAAAATGGTGGACAGTGTAATGATCTTATAAACAGTTATACTTGTACATGTCCCCCCGGATATACTGGAGTCAACTGTGAAATTGGTTAGTATTTGCCACCACTGGTCTCCTCCTGACTTTCTCCAATCCTTAGTGGTTTTATTGTTGTAACTGTGGACCACTGGTCTCCTCCTGACTTTCTCCAATCCTTAGTGGTTTTATTGTTGTAACTGTGGATCATTTTATTTGTCCTGTTGTTTGAATTATCAGATTATCTGATACAAGCTCTACTGGTAATACAATAAAAACTGATTAAGCTCACAGTTTTACACAATATTCTTTCATCACATGACTTCTATCTACCTGTGGTCATGTGACAGTTCAGAAGTCAGCTGATCAAGGTGTTAGTCAAACCTGGGTATAGCAACCACCCAAAGGGTAATGTTTTATTTTATAGGTGTGCTTATATCAACTTGCACATTTGACATTTGTACAGAAAGTAATGAGATGGTACAAATTATTTTGAGTTGATGGAAATAAAATGAGTTTGACTTGAGAAATTAAAAATTGTTTTATGAACATAATGTTAATTATTATTTTTATTTCTCTAAACAAGTGAAACCTGCAAAAATTGCAGAAAGGTCCCCTAACAACAGGTGGTCTTTATACACACATTTTTTTTGTATTTATAAACTTTTATTGGAGTTTGCACTGAAATTTACATCTTACATACCTGGTTTGTACATAACAAATTGCAATTAATCTACATATTGTGAAGTGAATTGGGTAACATTTTTCATAAAATATCCCCATTTCTTGTTATGAGAAGTCAACTTATTCCGTCGGACAGCAATGAAGTACTCTATCTCCAGGAAATATTTTACATATCTTTTGTATGCCATGAATTCTGGCTTTTGATTTTTATGTCTACACAAGTAAATATATTTTTTTGCTACCAGAAAGAGGAAGTTGACTAAACATGTAAAGTTTTCATCCCCAAAATAGATTTGTTGTGCATTCGGGAATGCCCTCAGGCCAAGCTTACCCCCTCCCCAAAGCATATACAGTGTTTCCCAAAAATCTTGGGTGCATTGACATTGGTAAAACAAATGGATAAGAGATTCAGAGCATGATGGACAGAAAGTACACAGATCAGACTCCACAATGGGAGGGTTCATCTTAAATAATGTTTTCTTTGTGGTCAGAATATTATGGATTATTTTGAGTTGAAATTCTCTGAGACGAGTTTATACACAGGTTGCTCAAATGTTATGTTTTGGGATTGTCTAAAAGTAACTTTAATATCTTTTTGTAATGACATGACAGAATATATCAACTTTTATGACTGGTACCTTCAATGATCCCTCAGAATACATTATATTTTCTTATATCTGTAGTACCAAATGAAAAAAACACAACATTATTTTTCTTTCAGATATCAATGAATGTCAGAGCAATCCCTGCTTCAATGGAGGGCAGTGTTTTGATTTAATCAACAGTTATGTATGTCAGTGTACACCGGGATATTCAGGAACACGCTGTACTGTCAGTAAGTGTAAAATCAAATCATGATGTAATTCATCTCTCCAGGGAATGTAGAATCTTAGTAACAATAACTTATTAAGGTTGAAGCCTAGTCATAATTTTTGACAAAATTGGTCATAAATCGCATGACAATGTTCATTAGTTTGTACAATCATGAAGCTAATGTCTCATGGTATAATGAAATAGCATTATTTTGTGTGTTACAGTTTAGTTTTTTGAGAAATGTGTCTTAATTCTTCTTGAAAATTGCTATTTTAGAACAATTCCATAGAACACAATGTTAAAGTAAAATTGCATTTTTTGGCATTTTTTAAAACCTAGATTTTTTAAATAATTCAGAATAACAAAAAGTACTCCATCATTAACAATATATGATTTTTTCAGTCTATGTCACCAGGCTAGATTTTGAGATATTACATAATATCTCTGCCATAGGAACCTATGGTAAAAGTGTTATAATAGTGTCAAAATGGCGATTTTCCACTAAAATACAACCATCAATTTCTCGAAAAAAAGGCTGGTGACCCCCTAATTTGTTTTAGGTCAATATCCTTGTATTGCCTTGGAGTACAGTTTTTTTACAAAAAGAATAAATTCTGGGTATTTTAATTTATGAGTAGGCTTCCACCTTAAGTAATTACTCGATACTGAGCTATGCCTACTACAGGTAAATGATCTTTGTGAAAAAAGTTGTAAGTTGTAATATATCTTACAGCTGAATTTAGTTCCAAAGTTACCTAATCCTGTGTACATGTACAAACCTTGTTCAGGGTAAGGTTACTTTGGAACTAAATTCAGCTGTAAGAATTTCTAAAGTTTTCATTTCTAAAGTTTTTTTTTAATTTCATGTATCATAATAAAACCAAATTTGCCTCCTTCACAGATATTGATGAGTGTGCGAGTAGTCCTTGTCAGAATGGCGCTGTGTGTCAAGATCTGATTAACGGTTTTCTTTGTCAGTGTCAGGCAGGTTGGATTGGTACGCTATGTGATCAAGGTAATAAAATAACAACTTTTTAAAATCATTTATTGCGTTGATTGATAATATGATTATGATACAATATCTCGGGATTTACGCAATAGCCACTAATTATGGAAGAATATCATCTTGTTCATTTTCAGACTTTAACGAGTGTGGCAGTAGTCCTTGTCAGAATGGTGGATTCTGCAGTGACGGTCCAAATAGCTATACATGTATATGTAATGGTGGATGGACGGGAACTAACTGTGAAATAAGTAAGTCTATGTATATTGAGCTATATATTAAATGCAATTTTTACTAGTATACTATCATTACTGGTATTATTTATTATTGTTGTGATTTATTGTTTTGATACTCACATTTTTTGTTTATACTCCCAAAGCTGATATGATTTGATAACACTGTCATTGTGGGTTTGTCACAGTAATCAATTTAATTCCTGTTTTTGGTCATATTTGTCCATCTCTGTAAACAATGTGGATTGCCTATTTCACTGTCTTTTCTTTTCTTAATCACTTCTAAATCTGTGGTCATTTTGAACCGAAATTAATTATTTTAAAAATGATTATTTTATTTTGTGGAAGGAGACAAAAGTTGATAATGGCAGTGAAAAGGTTGAAGATGGCAGTGAAAAGGTTACATGTCTGCAACATATTATATATCACATTCATGCTGAATTTGGAATCCTAAATGAATCCATAGAATTAGGCTACAATGTATCAAATCGTTACAACTCTGTGGATGTGTCAAATTGTTGTAAACTTAGAAATGCTACCATGGCAACCATTCAATGACAGTATGTTATATTCATACAGCTCCCCAATGCATGATGTACGTGTGATTTTTTTTCTTTAGATATTAATGAATGTGATAGTGGACCCTGCATAAATGGAGGGGTTTGTGTTGATGGTATTAATAGTTACACATGTCAATGTGCTGCGGGCTACACTGGCATCAACTGTCAAACAAGTAAGAATTGTTAAATAGTATGAAAATATTTGTTGCTGTTCTATTAAATATTTCTTTTGAACTACTCTGAGTATACTAGTAAATAAATGATAAAGAATTTTGAAATTTTATATTAGCTATGTAATTTTCTCTTCTGCAGAGTTTTCATGTTTTTTCATATATATCTGACATAAAGTCTGTAGCAGTTATCATTTGGCTGTGATTCTGTAAAAGTTCTTTTCATGAAAGTTCTTGAATCTTCGATTCAGGAAAATTTGTTGAACTGCTTTTTCTTGTTTTGAAATGTAATATTTATTGTTTATATTGCAGATATCAATGAATGTCAAAGTATTCCCTGTCTTAACGGTGGTATATGTAATGACGGTATAAATATGTATACCTGTATGTGTGCCTCGGGTTATGGTGGAATAAATTGTGAAATAGGTAAGTAACTATGCATGTTGTTTTCAGCAATACATTGACAGTGATATACTGTAACCTATGTGTAGGACAACAACTTATTTAATCATCGTCTTAATGTCTCTAAAAATACCGCCATTTCACAATAATCTCAATGGGTGAATTTTATAATAATGTTATATATGTCAACTTGGTTTCAGATATTGATGAATGTGCTAGTTCTCCTTGTCAAAATGGTGCTCAGTGTCTGGATAGTATCAATGGCTATACTTGCGTTTGTCTACCTGGATATGGTGGCCTTAGATGTGAATCTAGTAAGTACAATTCTGGCTTGCATGTGATACTAAAAGTTTTGAACTTGGCATTCCTAATGTATGGTGGAAATGCTTTATTGTCAGTAATTAAAAAACAATTATTAAGCAGTTAATTAATATGGCACCTGGTAATCCTAGAGTGGAATATGTTTATCTAAATATAAACCTTCCAGCCATAAACAATATTTTAGAAGTACACTGGGACTAGTGATTTGTTATCTACTACATATACCTGTAGTCCATAAATTTGTGAAGAAGTCCAAACTATTTTGCATAATAAAAATGAATTTCAATCATACATACATTTTATTTTTTTACTTGTTGTGTTGATGTTGTCATCTCAATTGTTAGATAAGTAATGACATTGCTTCCTTCAGTCATTTCACATTGAGTTAATGAGAAATGATTTGACATAGTAAAGTATCATTTTCAAATGAATATTCAGGTACAATCAAAATAGAACAATTTATATAAACAAGTAATTTTAGAGTAAATAGACAAAAGAGGTCAACCCTGTTGAAGCAAGGAGGTAAACTTTTTATCATCATGATTGATTTAAGTGGTAATCCTGTTGGTGAATACAGAAAATATTGGTCTGGCAATGTTGTTCAGTTGTCTGAGGCGTCGGGCCATCAATGAATGATACAGAAAATAATTACATAGGTTGTGTACTGTGATTTTATTACATAGCATTACTAGGTAGTATAAATTATCATTCATTTTATGGATCATAACCTGCATTAATCTAAATTTTCTAATTTTTCTTGGCAGATACTGATGAATGTTTAAGTTTTCCTTGTGCTAATGGTGGTGAATGTGTTGATGGCATTGGCTTCTTTACATGTATCTGTCCTGCAGGCTACACTGGTACATACTGTGAATTAGGTAAATAATAATATTTTTTTATGGTTATAACATATACAATAAGTGACAACATTATAGATGTTTTCATAGTTTTATGTTTAAATTAACAGATGTTGATGAATGTGCCAGTAATCCATGTCAAAACGAAGCCACTTGTATCAATGGTCGCAATATGTGGACATGTCTCTGTACTCAAGGATGGACTGGTGTGGATTGCTCTCAAGGTAACACATGTTTCAACATTTTACTATTATCAACAGATGCATAATTTTTTGTGTGTGACTATACAAGTTGTTTACAAAGTAGAATTTATGACACATTTTGAAGATATTGTTTGCTCCCCACACATAGAAGCAAATTTTTAGATGTCACTTGCTGTTTATGAAAAAGGATAAATTATTAGTTGAATATATAAGTTATTTTGATTTAATTATTCATTTGAACTACCCCGGTACATTTCAAATAATAAGAATGCATTAGGAGTGAAATGGTAAAAGTAAAAATACATATTAATAATACTAGTCATAATCGTGACCATAAAATATACAATATTATAGCAAATATTAATATAACCATAGAATATTCAATATAACAGTGAATATTAATATAACCATAGAATATACAATATAACACTGAATGTTTAACCACAGAATGTATTGTTTTTTTTCACAAACTAGTATATTTAAAAGCAAATATCAAAACTGTTAAATTTGAACTCATTTTATTAATATTTCTCTTTCTGCTGTTGTCTTAATAAATTTGAGATAATGAAAAATAAAGATGTATGTAAATGTAACATTTAAATCTGTTAGCAATCTTGTATCCAAAATGGTCATGTTATCTGATAAAACTGCTATTATTACTAATCATGTTTCAATTGTGTTTTTTAAGACGTTGATGAGTGTGACAGTGGTCCATGTCGTAACGGTGCACAATGTGTCAACGGCCGTAATCGGTTTAACTGTGTATGTGCTGCAGGATATACCGGAACGTACTGTGAAATTAGTAAGTAAATATATTCTACTCAACTGCTGAAGCTTGATTGGGTATTCCTGCAAGTATATACATGTCATCATATTGTCATAAGTCTCAGCATTCCATGATTATTTGCATCCTACCTTATTAGGAAATGCAAATTGAAAATATAAAACAATTTATAGATTTTTCCAAGATGGCAGATATGTTCAGTGTGAGACGTCATTTATTTCAGCTAGTTTCAAGATGGTTATTAATATTAAGGTTATTTAAAGGATACAGCAAAGTATGTACTCAGACTGTATTTGGTTGCATCAACCACTGCCATGCAGCAGTCAATACTTTTGTGCATGTGCACTGCGTCCATTTGACAAAAAATGGTTTGCACTTGAAGACAAAATAATGATGTTGATCGCTGTTATTAGGTTACCAGGGGTATTGACTGACACGTAGCGGAGGTTGATATGACTCTATACTGTCTGAGTGCATTAAATTTGCATTATTCTTGTAATAACCTTATTATACATTTACCAATCCACCACTTGCAGGTGTTGATACCCAGAACTGAGTACAGTGGTGACAATTTGCTATGAACATTTTTAAAAACATTTAGCATTTTACTAATATGATATTGTGCAATACCACAAAATTATAGCAGGCTGTAATTTATGTTGATATGGTGACAGATGTATAATAAATACCTTTATGTGTTTTGGCTAATTAAACAAAATTATGGGAAATTTTGTCACAGTGGAATTGCGAGTTTGTGCTGATCCATGAATAATACCTAAATTTTAAAAGATGCATACCGGTACTATGATGATACATTTTTAGAAGTGGTATCTTTTGTGTATTTTGATCGATATTTCGTTAAATTTAAGTCCCTTTCAAATTTGTACTAAACTCATGTAATACAGTTCTTTCTCAACACAATTGTATCCAAAGTACTGGCTACGTATAAAAGTTACATACTTCATTTGACATTTCAAATTATTTTCTAGATTACTGCTCATATTTGTATTGCCCTGTAATATTTCATTTGCATGACAGTTGGGAATAATAATTTGAATTTTTTAAATTTAATTTCAGACATAAACGAGTGTGATCAAAACCCATGTATGAATGGTGTGTGTAGGGATGAAATCAACGGTTATACATGTCAGTGTTATGGTGGGTATACCGGAACTGACTGTGAAATAGGTAAGCTATGGCTTATGCCGTATTATGTTGTCTGTATGCAAATTAAGACATGTTAATCACTAGACGGGTGAATAATGATGACCACCGTGTTTTACTTCTAGATATTAATGAATGTTCCAGTAGTCCGTGTAAGAATAGTGGGCTGTGTAATGATCTTATTAACAGATTCACTTGTGAATGTTTATCTGGATGGACCGGTGTATACTGTGATGTTGGTGAGTTCATAGCATACTGTTTTATTGACAATGAAGATATCATATATTAGGGTTGATTGCTGTGTTATAGCATGTTGAAATATCCATCCTGCATATAACCATTGCAAGTACTGTTTCAAAATTCGTTGTTACTATGTCTTTACTGAATTTCAATTTTTGCACTTTAAGGAGACATCATAGTCAAGTGCCTTGATGTCTAATGTGCTTGCCTTGGCACCCTTTGATATTTCTTATATTTTATCTTTACCAACTTAAGGCATTTTTATTAATTTTGACATTGAAATAGGGTGTCAAGCCCTGTGTGTTGACTTGGTGTTTAGTACATATGATTACCATATACCAGTAGCCCTGGTTCTCATGTAGACACAATACTCACAATAAAATGTGATGCTGCAAGCAGTATAAAAATGAACAAAATAAGACCAACCAGCGGGAAATTGGTAGAATACTGCAGTCAGTGATGAAAAGTTGCACTCGAAACGTCTGTCCTTTTTAACTCCTGCAGTATTTTACCATTTTCCCGCTCGCCGGTCTTATTTTGTTCATTTTGGTTCTCGTGTACATGTTTAAGCAGTAAGTGACAAATTGTCATTGTCTAGTGGAAAGTTTTCTGATTATTATCATAACTCAATTTGTTATCTTATTTTAGATATTAATGAATGTGCTAGTTCACCTTGTTTGAATAGCGGTACATGTCGAAATCTACAAAATAGTTTCCTATGTGAGTGTGTAGCTGGGTGGACTGGTAACAATTGTGGTATTGATATCAACGAATGTGCCTCAAGTCCATGCCAGAATGGTGGAAGCTGTAATAATCTGCAGAACTCTTACAGTTGTTTTTGCATTCCTGGATATACTGGCGTTAACTGTGAAACCGGTAAGTTTATTCAAGCTGATATGCTGAAATTATTTCAGTGTTTCATATGTTTCAGTGCATTTTTGCATATGGCATTGTGTTATTTGAATACTGATTCTATAAATGTCATTTTTGCTAGTCAAGGTGTATTTACTCAGCCATCGCCTGACTGCTTTGTGAATATGTTTACATTAAGCTTACAAAACAGTGCAATTAGGAGGATGAAAACTAAATTTACTGTGAAATTACTATTATTTTTATAGATGTGAATGAGTGTTCTAGTAGTCCATGTCAACATGATGCCGAGTGTATTGATGGTATTAACCGTTATACATGTGTTTGTACTCCTGGCTGGACTGGCACCAGATGTGAAATTGGTAAGTATTATGAATATTAATCAAATAATTTAAATAATTCATGGATAAACTAAAATTAGTTTATATTATTGGTTCATATGTAAGTGCCTATACAGTTTTAAAAATTTGACATTTAATTTAAATGACTGATTTAAATACAAATGCTTGTTGCATCATTTCTACAGTACCGATAGTTTTGGCGATGCATATCAGTAAATTTGACAGTTGTACTCTATTTTTTTATGTCACCTTAATTGTTGATGTTTGTGTAACACAAAGTACACTAAGGGAAGCAGTAATATGATTGATCAACAATGTATGTATGATAGTCATTTCAAATGTAGATAAATATTGATGATTTATAATATCTGTAATATTCATATCACATGTTATATATTATTTTTAGAAATAAATGAATGTGCCAGCAGTCCTTGCAGAAATGGAGCAACTTGTAATAATTTGATCAATGGATATTCATGTACATGTCCACCAGGATATACTGGATATAATTGTGATGGAGGTGAGGAGTACATTCATGTATTTGCGCCCTCTATATTATATGTTCTGCCCTCTAGTGTCAAACTCATCATTTATTTTGTTTCTTTTATTTTTTAAGATGTTAATGAGTGTGCTAGTTCTCCATGTCAGAATGGTGGTAATTGTCAGAATGCTGTAAATTCTTACAATTGCCAGTGTTTACCCGGTTGGACTGGTCCGAATTGTGAAATTGGTGAGTAGCGGAAATTAGAGAATTTGTTTTTGTTAGTTCATCTCTGAGATGGTGTGATTTTACTCACAGATGTAAGTTGATGTATGATACAATTCATTTCAAGTTTGCCAATTTATGTCCATACTGGTTTACAAGAAAAACATTATTTTTTTATCCTTTCTCACCAAAAACTTGATTTGATTGTAGAATATCATAACCCATATTTGAGGTTTTTATGAAAAGTACATTAAAGTAATACTTTCTGAAGAGATAAAAAAAAATAACCAACACTAACAAGACAGGAAAAAAACTAAACAGGATGCTCAAATTTCTAAACAAAGAAAAACTGGTTAAAAGAATTGTAATTGATACATTGGTGTAGGGTGAGAGGGGTGTGGTATTGCTTGTATGCAAAACCAAGCCAAGTTTCGCTCGTGTTACATGTATTTCAAACTTATACTTTTATTTTACTGTATGGTACTGTGTTGTTAACATGCCAACAAGTAATCATAAATTGCGACAATATCTTGTTATTTTTTTTCCAGATTACAATGAATGTGCAAGTTTTCCATGTCGTAATGGTGCTACATGTAATGACTTGATTAATGGTTATGAATGCGTATGTGCCGCTGGCTGGTATGGGACAAACTGTGACTCTGATGTTGATGAATGTATTAGTAACCCATGTAGAAATAATGCGCAGTGTGTGAATGGTCAGAATCAATATACATGTATCTGTCCACCTGGATGGTTTGGAACCACCTGCGAAAGTAGTAAGTACAAAATATAACATGTTTTTTGACAAAACAATTGCTTTAAAATTGTTTTAATAAAGAATAGTGTTGTCAATTATTTGACAGATGTCTCTTGCTGTTATCCAATCCAATAGCTTACAGGTTTTTTTTTTCGAAACCGGGGAACAGGGGCGCAGCGCCCTGATACTCTCGGCTGGCGTCCTCTTACCGAATTGCCGATTGAACTTTCAAGCTATAAATATATATCTTGAGCTGTGCACTTCTGTGTTGCTGTACAACATGAAATCTTTCTCAAATACATTTTTCACCGTGAAAACTTCCCAGCAACATCATCTGACAATGTGTCTGTACACCAAATACACTAAAATTACTCAAAAAATATTTCAATGATAGATACACCGTTAATATGGTGCAGAAACCTTCTGATATGGTATCGCTCTGCTCCCTCTTGTTCATTTTTTCTAGAAAAACCCCTGGCTTAGTTGTCAACCAAAATTTTCAGAATTATTCTATCATTACCCATCAAAAACAGTATAGAACTAATCAGTAGAATGTACCGATACCTTCCATTTATTAGACCCAAACAATATAATTATTAGTGGATTGAAATAAAAATAAAAAGTATATTTGTTGAGTGAATGAACTGTTTAATCAGTGGTCACATGATTTTAAAACTAGAAAGATATTAATGAAAGTAATTTCCAACCAAAAAACTAGTTTTATTCCTTGTCAATAAAGAGAAACATCAAGGTGGATTGACAGCATTTGAATCTAGACATTTACTTCCAGGTGGTCAAATTGCTATAAAATATTGTTTTAGCAGAAAGTAGGTGATCCAACTATTAGAGATCAATTACAAATATTGTGGAATGGTAGTAGGTAGTAAGATCAGAATAAAAAATATTGAATTTGCTTTATAAATACATAAACTAGTTCTGATACTGATTAACAGTTTCTACCCAAATAACCTGCTTATTGATTAAAACATGTACACAATCAAAAATTATGTTCATTTGATCCAAAAATAATAAAGATATTGTCGACAAATTTAACAAAATGTTGTGAGAAATTAAGGTATTCTTATTAGAAAATAAATTTGTTTATTTTATTCGTCTGTAGATCGTGATGAGTGTGGCAGCAATCCTTGTTATAATGGCGGTACATGTGTTGATTTAATTAATGGCTATACATGCAATTGTGCTGCCGGCTGGACTGGTGTTAACTGTGGCGTTGGTAAGATAAAAAAAACATTACATAATTCCACCTTAAGATTCTTATTGTCATGTACAGACATTCAAACATTGGAGTTATTTTCACATTTTACGAACTATCATAGAAAACTAAATCTTACTATTGTATTATTATTCGTTTACCAGACATTAATGAGTGTGCATCACGTCCATGTATGAATGGTGCAACTTGCACTAATGAGATCAACAAGTATTCGTGTACATGTGCACCTGGATGGACAGGAACCAACTGTGCTCTAGGTAAGAATTTCACTTTTTGTCTTTATCATATGGTTTAAGACAGAGCTGCATTACTTCATGACTGGGTAAAATATAAGTGCTGAAAATAAACCTTGATGTAATATATATAGCCTTTGTACAATGATTTGTGTTTTTTTTTCTATCGTAGTTATTGATGAATGTGCAAGTAATCCATGTGAAAATGGTGGTACATGTACAGATATTGTAAATGGTTATCAGTGTCAATGCGTAGCTGGTTGGACTGGTAGTAGTTGTGAAATTGGTAAGTTTTTACTCATGCTTTCTAGCACATACTTGTAGATTTGAAGTTAACATGCACTTGGTTATTTGCCTGATTGGTACAAGTTTAATGGATTTTCTATATCTGTTGTCATGGATACCAGAAGCCACAAAATTGTGTTTGCTTTTTCCTCGTCAATTTGTATGAATAAAATATAGGTTTTTATATATTTTTTTTATGTTTTGTGAAGCTTTTATAAACTATTCAATACAACAAGGATGTTTGGTACAAATCTGAAAAGCTGATACATTGTCCTTTTCACCAAAAGTATATCACTACCACCATTTGTTTATGAGATCACCATGTCAACCACATGGTTGAAAGCAACAGAATCCTTACTCTGCTTGGTGGACAGTGGTTACTATACTCAGTTCACATCAATTTCTGGCATGAAGAATAACAGATAAATGAAGTTTGCTCTCCTGAGAGTGCTGTAGGATAAATAAATCTCATGTGTTCATGTTTTTTTGTTTATAGATGTAAATGAGTGTTCCAGTGCTCCATGTTTACATGGTGGTACGTGTCAGAATATGCTGAATGCATACCAATGTTTGTGTTCACCAGGATGGACTGGCATCAACTGTGACATAGGTGAGTAACACAATCCTTACATAGGTCACATGACTTTCAATAAAATATATCAATCAAATACAGTATACAAGAGAATAAACATTGAGATAAAAAATAAGAGTTTATAATATGTATTTATTTATTTATTGTAGATATTGATGAGTGTGCCAGCTCACCATGTAATAATGACGGCACCTGTGTTGATGGTATTGACATCTATTTCTGCACATGTACACCTGGATGGGGCGGAATTAACTGTGAAGTTGGTAAGTATACAACAGACCTACCTCATTTTAATAAACATCACCCATTGCAGAAGTTGTTTAGGGAGTCATAGATAGTTAAAGCCATGCCTATAGCAAAAATGTACCTTGTCTTGTGAGTGGAAGGTATTTCTCAATTACCCCAATACTCTCAGTAATTCGTTTTGGTGTCCACACTTTAATTTGAATGACTTTGCAATAACAGTGTTCAAGACTAAGGTACCTCCTGCTCTGAAATAATTCTTTTTGGGTGATTCTATTGTACCTTCCATCTTTCCAAAGATAGATAACTTTTTTTGTATGGAATCTGATGTTGACATTGACTTTACCGTCAGATATGCCATGCTGTTGCATTCAATTAAAATCTTATTAATTTTTTTTTACTTTAGAAACATTGGAATGTATTAGTAACCCGTGTCGCAATGGTGCTACTTGTTTTGAAGGTGAAAATAGTTATGCTTGTATCTGTACACCAGGATGGTCGGGTATGAATTGTGACATTGGTAAGTGTATTTTGTGAAATCTATGCATCTATATATTTAATCTCACTGTATCCATGCCTAGTTTGACACTACAGTTTGTCACTTTGGTTTAATACTACTCGGATTAGTATCATGCATTTTGCAATGAATCAAATGTTACTTTTGAAATAAACTCTTGATTTTGACAAGTATGAAGGACAGTGAACGACTATTATTTCTCAAGTAATTTACATGAATTTAAGTTTTTGGGAAAATCATCTAAATGTTTAGCAGGTAGCATTTCTTTGTTGTTCAGTTATAGAGACACAGTAGCATACTTGCTCTATTAGTACCATGTGTACTTACGTAAATTACAGAGATGTTTCTATGTGCACTTACGTAAATTACAGAGATGTTTCTATGTGCACTTACGTAAATTACAGAGATGTTTCTATGTGCACTTACGTAAATTACAGAGATGTTTCTATGTGCACTTACGTAAATTACAGAGATGTTTCTATGTGCACTTACGTAAATTACAGAGATGTTTCTATGTT